GGAGGACAGATGCCCCACAGACCACAATTGACACTTTCTTCAGTAAAAGGCAGAGGGAACAAGGTGCTATCCCTCAGCCTTCCACTTCAAGAAGGAGAGAGGATGTTCATGGTGAAGAATCTGTCAGTCCAGAGGTTCCTGACATTTTCATGGAAGGTGACTAACCTTCCAAGAAGCAGTAAAATGCTTCTCCTCCACCTCCACTTCCTTCTCTTCTCCCTTCTCCTCCTCCACCTCCCACTTCAAATTCACATCATCATCATCATCATCATCCAGGAGCCTTCTACATACACACCTCAAAGTAAGTGAACTTTTCTACCCTTTTTTTTTTAATTTAGGCGATTTTCAGTGAGCTGGAACCAATTAACCCAAAAACCCATTGAAACAATGGTTTCGGTTAACGAGATTTTCGATTAACGAGCAACCTGCTGGAACGAATTGTGCTCGTTAACCGAGGGACCATTGTATTCTTATATTACTCTATTAATTATGTATAGTAAAGTATTACAGAACATGTATTAATCCTATGTAATGTTTCCATTTATTATGCACCATGTTATGTATATGTATTATCATATTTACATATTATGTATTCAGCTTGAGAACGCTGGCATCTGTGCATGCCAGCGCGGAGTGATACAGGGAGATGAGACCGCTAGTCCTTATGGCGTGGAAGCCACTGTTTATTTGTTCCCCTGCATTTGTCTCCCGTACGAGAATAAGAACCTTTTTCAAGATAACAAGTGTTTGCGTATACCCTCAGTAGTGTAGAACATTTTGGGGGTATCAAAGACAGACATAGACCTGTACGCTGTATACCTGTACGCCTGTACACTGTATACCTGTCCTGTACACCTGTACACTGTATACAGTGACCCCTCGTTTAACGAACACCTCGGTTAACGTAATTTCGATTAACGAACTGCCTTCCATAAGGATCTTCAATTCGGTTAACGAAAAAAAATTCGGTTAACGAAGTTCTTACGAACCGACCTCAACATGTTTTCGCTTGCACTGACCGGGCAACCAGCTTTAGTGTCAGTCCGCCAATACATTAATCGGTTCTAGGGCTTAAATTCCTCACTATTTTAGTAAATATCAAGAAGTTTATACTTTTCAATAATTTTAAAAGTTTAATATTCAATTTTTTAGTCATTTTAACAATTATTGAACATAATTGAAGGTAAAGTGACTAGTTTAATGCGCGGCATCCAGCCTCTTAACACAGCAAACAGGAGTTAGTCTCTCTCTGTTTTCACTGGACGTAACATCTTGCTTGAGACTCTCTTCAACTAAACGCTTTTTTTCTGTGTTTCCAAGCAAATTATTGGTCATTTTGAAATATATTTTACATATTGACAATATATAATGCAGTGCAGTGTTGATTTAAAGAAAATAATCTTGAATTACACCAAGAGAGCTAAAATTTTATGGGTGAAATGGCGCCATGGGGTGACTTCTCTTCCACCCCAATGCCTTCTCTTTCTCCTCCTTCTCCCCCATCATCATAATCATCCATCATCATCATCATCATCATCATCATCATCATCATCATCATCATCATCATCATCATCCAAGAGCCTTCTACATACACACCTCAAAGTAAGTGAACTTTTCTACCATTTTTGTTGAATTTAGGAAATTTTCGGTGAGCTGGAACCAATTACCCAAAAACCCATTGAAACAATGGTTTCGGTTAACGAACTTTTCGGTTAACGAACGACCTTCTGGAACGGATTGAGTTCGTTAACGGAGGGGTCACTGTACCTGTATAATGGGGTACAGGTACCTTACCCAGAGGGGACTGTGTTCGGGTCTAAGCACAAAGCTCATGTGTATCTCATTTACTGAATGTGGATACATATAGCTTGCAGGTAGTTTAATGCAATATTTATAATAATTTTTGCATGAAACATTAAGAAAAAGGTCATATTGAACCATCAGAAAGGTAAGCTACCACTACCATAGGCCTACCTGTAACTGCCACTGAAATTTACCATAGCACAGTCTTACCTTCATTCATTAATGCTCTTGGGATGAGGATGCACTCTGCAGGATGACTTTCTTCAATGTTTCATCTGCTTCATTAACAATGGTTTTTGTTGTATCAATCTCTTTGATCTTATAAACTGACATGATTTATTGTTCAGTTATGAGTACACGCTGTTCTAGTCCATCAATAAGTCCATCACACATTTTACCACTGTTAACTATGTCATCTTCATCTTCACTGTTAGCATCTTGATCTCCTTGATTCAGAACCATTTTAGCTGTCTCACTATCAGTCATGGTTGAACAACTGGAGCATCATTATCAATGTTGAGAACTTCTTCTATATCAGCCTCCTCCAGCTTCTTGACAGCATCCTAGGGTATTCTTTTTGCGTATGTTGGAGGTTTGACATCATTTGTTTCTCACTTGCCACACGGAGTCCTTCAAAGTCATCATTTTGTTCGTCATCGAACATAGTCGACGGCCAGAGGTTGTGCCAGGCATTCGCAAGGGTGTCCTTACCTATGGCATTCCTAGCACTAGCTCAGCATAGATGACATCCTTCACTGTAAACTGCTTTTGGAAACCCTCCACACCCAAGCCTCTGTTGACTGCTGCCAACATGATGTTCGGGAAACTGTGTTTATATTTGCTCTTCAGTGCTCTAAGGATCCTTTGGTCACATGGCTGAATTTATGAAGTAATATTTGGGGGAAAGTAAATGCCATAAACATTATTCTTAACAATAAGTTCGGCTGGGGGATGTGCAGAACAACTGTCAAGGAATAACAAAATCTTGCAGACGTCTTCCAGTCCAGCTTCCCGGCAGTGCTCGAGAGCAGCTGGTACAAAATATTTATTAAACCAGTCAGAAAAGAGGTCCCTGGTGATCCACGCTTTCTTGTTGGCATAATAATGGACTGGTAAATTAGTCACGCCTTTAAAACAGCGGGGACGCTTGCTCTTGCCTATCACAGCAAGTTTACACTTGTGTGGGTCTGCTGCATTAGCACATCCCAGCACAGCCAGTCTGTCCTTGACATTCTTAACTCCTGTAAGAGCCTTCTCATCAGCTGTAGTTAGTGTCTTCCTGGGACAATAATGCCTGAACAATGTTGTCCCGTCGGCATTATAAATTTGTTCTGATTTTAGATCTCCATCAGCGATGAACTTGGCAAACTCGTTGATGTGGTTCTCTGCTGCCTAATGATCAGCAGAAGCTTTATCACCACAAATCTTTAAATAATTAATGCCATGCCTCTTCTTAAATTTCTGCAACCAGCCTGCTGAATATTCTCAGTTACCATCAATTTTAAGTTCGTCATGATAAATCTTAGCTTGTTTCATGACCAACATAACGTTAAGCGGCAAAAGCTCACTCAGACGCTGATGAATCCACTCTTTCAAACCGATCAAGATCTTTATTTTTTGCCTTGTGCAATGTTTTTCTATTTTTCATAAGCTTTTGATCATCACTTTCAGCTAAGAACTTTAACAACTTGTCTTTTTATTTCCTCAGGTCATAAATGGTGGTCGTTCTGACTCCAAACTCCTCCGTGAGTCGCCTCACACTTACACCATGGTCAAGTTTTTCCAAAAACTCAACTTTTTGTGCTATGGCTAAGCATAAATGCTTCATTTTTTCTTTTCACTGTTACCCATAGTGGTTCCTACAGGTCTTTTCAACATTTTCAATTGTATATTCATGCAACAAACCACTGAAAAATCACAAAAATCACTGAGTAATGCATGGACATCTGACTGTGATAAGTGCAGAACAACAACTGGCGCCAACAGCCACCACCCTGATCCAATTAGGGTAGATTAGGTCATGCTTGTAAGTCTCTGCGGCGTGTCAGGACCCACTCATCGCACGGGAACTTTAAAAAAGCCCTGTGGAATTATTTTAATTTTTCACTGCAGGTGCTCCAAAAAAAAAGTATGGATTTCCTATGTTTTCGGTTTTTAGTAAATGAGATAGAGGATTCTCAACCTGTATATGTGTTATAGATTGTTTGCAGTTTAATTATGTTGATATTTTGGTAAGAAATTATTTTGGGAAAACAAATAAAACATGAAATTTCCAGAACCATACTTCTCTGTGTTCCTCCTCAGTGAGCTTAAGTTAACATATTGTAGCAGACACTTGTAAACATTATTGTACACCAAGGAGCCCCAGCCTACCCTGAGTGGTCTGAGGGGCCTAATCTTCAGGTGTGGTTGAGGGGCCTAATCTTCAGGTGTGGTTGAGGGGCCTAATCTTCAGGTGTGGTTGAGGGGGGCTAATCTTCAGGTGTGGTTGAGGGGCTAATCTTCAGGTGTGGTTGTGGGATGAGGGGCTAATCTTCAGGTGTGGTTGAGGGGCTAATCTTCAGGTGTGGTTGTGGGGGCTAATCTTCAATTGTGGTTGGGGGCTAATCTTCAGGTGTGGTTAGGGGGCTAATCTTCAGGTGTGGTTGAGGGGGCTAATCTTCAGGTGTGTGGCTGAGGGGGGCTAATCTTCAGGTGTGGTTGAGGGGCTAATCTTCAGGTGTGGTTGTGGGACTAATCTTCAATTGTGGTTGAGGGGGCTAATCTTTCAGGTGTGGTTGAGGGGCTAATCTTCAGGTGTTGCTGTTGAGGGGGGCTAATCTTCAGGTGTGGTTGATGGGGGCTAATCTTCAGGTGTGGTTTGAGGACTAATCTTCAGGTGTGGGTTGAGGGGCTAATCTTCAGGTGTGGTTTCAGGTGTTGTTGAGGGCTAATTTCAGGTGTGGTTGAGGGGCTAATCTTCAGGTGTGGTTGATGGGGGCTAATCTTCAGGGGTGGTTAAGGGGGCTAATCTTCAGGTGTGGTTGAGGGGGCTAATCTTCAATTGTGGTTGAGGGGGCTAATCTTCAGGGGTGGTTAAGGGGGCTAATCTTCAGGTGTGGTTGAGGGGGCTAATCTTTAGGTGTGGTTGAGGGGGCTAATCTTCAGGTGTGGTTGATGGTGTAGATTACATAACTGACTGTAATGTTATCTTACAGGAGGATGAACTGTACTCATGGATCAACCCCACCTACCTGGATATGGACGTCCAGAGAGAAATACGCCACAAGTTTCGTACAGACTCGGAGGTTGAACTTGAGTCGTTCCTCGCTGAAAATAAATACCAAGAACTGGCAGAGGCACTCAAAAGTAGTGATTTAATATGGCAGTGTACTGGTCCTGCCAACAAGCAGAACTTTGAGGTACTGTACTGTACTGTCTCTTAAGACATTTGTTATTGAGAAAAACATCTGGAATTTATTTTTGTATTGTATGTTATATTTTTTATTTATTTATTTTTTTAATAAGTTGGAAAAATTGTTTTACCAAGTTTATTTATCAGTAAGTCACCATTTCCTTCTCTCTAAGCAGTCCAACCTTATTCTCTCAAGGTGTTTGTATTCGGTGTGTGTGTGTACACAGGGTGGTGTATTACGTCTAGTGTGGCAGCATTATGTTAGTGTTAGGGTGCAAGTGTTAAGGTGCAAGCAACTTGCGTAAGTCTTCCCCTGCCAGTACACAGCCTCCTCACCATCAAGACTCCTGCTGTGCCTCCTCGTGGCAACACACGGTAACTGGGTGCCTCACGGCCTCAGGAGAGAACCAGTAGGGAATCTCGGAGTAGCAGTGGGCACCAGAGGGATGGTGCATAGGCCCACAGGCATGTGGACACGTTCTGGACCCTACCAACCACCGCCCCGCTGCCCTGTGGATTAACCTTGGTAGGTATAAGGCTATGGGAGTAAACCCAAAACAAAAAATCTGCGGTTAAGCCTCGCACCAGGCAGACACGTCTACAGAGCTCCAACAAGACCCCAACAGCAAAATAAGCGGATGAGGTGACCACCATGGGAACCCAACGAAAACACTGGCGGATGAAGGCGATGCCTGATGGACATGCTACTACAGTGAAACCCAACAAACTGGGCTATCGGCAGTCCATTGCAACTCTCCCTCTCCCCAGTTGTTGCAACACTTGCACCACTGGATCGGGTAAAAGGAGAGCCAAGATGTGTGGTTGCAGCCTGCACTCCTGCCTCACCACATAAATCAACTCACGTGCAGTCATCATCCAGCTCATCATACCTCTCATCATCATCAAAACCCCTATACCCCCATAAGTCCTTTGGCGACGGACGAGTGGCGACAGGCAGAGATGGCTGCTGGGAGTATCTAGTCACAACTCTGCACATGGGCGGCACAGATAAGATGGTCGTTTATGCAGTGGGATCTAGGCAACATTGCAATCCGGTCTTGTCTGTGCGACTGAGCAGCCTTCTCCAGCAACCATTCCGCTCACCCCACATGGGGAGGGGGCTAGAAAAGGTGTCCTTAACATAGACTGCCTAAAGAACCAGCCTGACTGGGCAACCACACCAAGGTAGGTCAACCTAATGCGGTCGAAAACAATCAAAATCACAGATCAAAACAAAAACAAATTGTACAACCTCTTATGGTCGCTGCATGGAATGTCAGAACCCTTCTGAATACTGGCATAAATGAGCGTCCTGAAAGAAGAACTGCCCTTGTGGCAAAAGAGCTGGCAAGGTATAACATCATCATAGCAGCCATTAGTGAGTCCCAGCTCCCAGATGAGGGCCAACTCACAGAACGGGGGTCTGGCTAAACCTTCTTCTGGAAGGGTATGCCTGCTGCGGAGAGAAACCGCATTTATGGAGGTGGCTTCGCCAATCCATCCTAAGGCAACAAGCCTCCAGAAGAAGTTTTAACACCAAGTGACTGGAGGATCAAGTAGCAAAACATGCTTTTAGTGAGCAGCTCGACGATGGGCTCATAAACAACACAACAATAAACAAACTAAATCCGAATGCTGAATGGGTTATCCTCGACGCTGTCATCATAAAAACCGGCAACGAGACCCTCGGCCAGATAAAAAACAAAACAAAAACACCAGGATTGGTTTGATGAAAACGACCTGGAAATCGAAGTACTCGTCAATAGTAAACGCGCTGCACTCACTGACTGGCAGAGGAAAAATAACAAAGCCTCAGGGCCTGATGGAATCCCAGTCAAGGTGTATAAAGCAGAAGGACCTCTGCTTACCAGCCGTTTCCACTCTCTCCTGGAGAATATATGGGAAATTGAGGAAATGCCCCAAGCACTTAAAGACGCTTCCATCGTCAATATTTATAAGAACAAGGGAGACCGGTCAGACTGTGGCAACTACCGTGGGATCTCGCTGCTCTCTGTAGCTGGCAAGATTATCGCCCTAGTCCTCCTAAACAAACTTCTTCCTGAGGCAGAAAACTTCCTCCCAGAATCTCAATATGGCTTTAGACCATCACGTGGCACCACTGATATGACCTATGCTGCCTGCCAGGTACAGGAAAAGTGCAGAGAACAGCTCCGTGACCTGTACATTGCTTTCATTGACCTAACCAAGGCCTTCAACTTGTTCAACTGGGAAGCCCTCTTGCAGACTCTCGTATTGGCTGCCCACCAAAATTCATTGCCGTTGTGAGGTACAGTACTTCGATGATGGCATAAACGGCAGTGTCTTGCACAACGGCACCCAGTCTGAGTTCTTCCCCATCCAAACGGGGGTTAAACAAGGATGTGTGCTGGCACCAACTCTCCTTTCCATTTTCTTGGCTGCCTTCCTTACTAGTTTTGCCAGCTGGGTCAACATCCAGCACTGGATGAAGGATCTTTTCAACATAGACGACTCCAGGCAGGAACAAAGGTGTCAGCAGCTTCCATGACTGAACTTCAGTATGCAGACGACCTCACCCTTGTTGCTCACACTGAATGCAACCTACAGGAGATCCTGAACACCTACACGGATGTTTATGCACACTTCGGCCTTGAGGTGAATGTATGTAAGACTCAGATTCTCTTTCAGCCAGCCCCTGGTTCAGCCACACCTCCACCATCCATCCAGCTTAATGGTATTACCCTCTCTAATGTTACCCACTTTTGGTATCTCGGCTCCCACCTGTCCACCACCGCGGACATTGATAAAGAGATTCAACATCGGATCAGATGTGCATCTCAAGCCTTTGGCAGACTCACTACCTGTGTCTTCAACTATTGGGAGCTGAAATTATTTACAAAGTTGCATTTATATCGAGCAGTGATTCTCCCCACCCTGCTATTTGGCAGTGAGACATGGATCACATACAGGAGGCATCTCAAGGCACTTGAAAACTTTCACCAACGTAGTCTACGTTCTATCTTCCGAGTTCTCTGGGAAGACAAGAGAACAAATGCCAGTATTCTCATCGACACCAACTGTAGGAGCATCGAGGCTACCATTATCCATGAACAACTACGCTAGACTGGCCATGTTACCCGCATGGACGACAGTAGACTGCTAAAGCTGCTACTTTATGGTCACCTAATGAATATTAATTGTAACGCTGGTGGGCAACTGAAAAGATATAAGGATAGTCTTAAGACAATCCTGAAAAAGTGCCAAATCGACCCCCTCACCTGGTAGACGATCACTTCACACCGTAACGCTTGGAGGAGCATCACATGAGAAGGTGTCAATACTTTTGAATTAGCCTGACTGCATAACGAGGCAGATAAGCGCCAGAACCTAAAAGACACTGCCGCCGCCCCTCCCACACAAAATGTAATCCCCCACATGTGCAACATCTGTGGATGACCCTGCTGGTCCCATATCGGCCTCTTTAGTCACCGCAAAACTCACCAACCTAGGTGACATCCTTAATAACTCATATCATTGTATCATACTTGGATGACCATTATACTCGATACCGAGTGACAGCAAAGTAGTAGTAGTAGTAGTAGTGTGTGTGTGTATATAGTATTTGTGGCTGTTGTGTGGGTGTGAGAGAGTGAAAGGAGAGAGAGATTTTATTGCTGGAGGAGGCGCTGTCTTGAAGGACTACAGCACGTTGAAAACTCAAGAACACGTCTTCTTTGTGAACAATGTCAGAGGAGGTATGCGTGTGAGGCTGTATCTCCACCCCCAAACCTAGACTATGCACGCCCTGTTTGTAATAAGCAGTGTGCGTCAATTATTGGACTCTACAGCCCTCGTAGAACTTGCCACTAAACCAGAAGAGGAAGTCATCATCAGACACTATGGACTACCATAAGCAGCAGTGTGTGAGTGTGTGTGTGGCTTCTATGTCATGTATTTCACCCTGTATAGTATCACTGTGGCTGCTCCAAGACCACTCTGGGGGTTATCATTAAACCCCCCCCCCTCCCCAACTGCCTTATTTACACTTTGTTGTAGTTGATTTATTTTTTACTGATGATGTTGACAGTCCTGTGTAGATCAGTTTGTCACCAACACCTCATTGATGCAACACATGTAGAAATTTAACATCCAAGATTATTACTTGTTGTCCATGTTTGGTTTTCTCTTGTGGTCTTTAGGTGCAAATTGCATCATTAAACACTCTTGTGTTGGGGCGACCCCTCCTCAGCGTATCTCACTGAGAGCACCTCTCCCGTAAACAAAACGCTGGAACCGTGGACCGGCCTTGTCAACCACCTAAGCTCTTCCCACTGGCCTTGTGGGATGGCTGATGCATCTCTAAGGGTGCAATTTGGTTCTGGATCGCTATACCCAAGGTTTATTAAATGGAAAAACCGTTTCTGTACCGCCACAACCCGCACCTAAAGACTGCGAAGGGGTGAGATTACTGACCGTGGCCAGGAGTACCAGAGAGTTGACCCTCTCTCTTGGACTCTTTTCTTGTTATAAAAAAGTTAATTTCTTTACACATGTTTTTTCTTTTGTGTAAACCCCAACATATTTCTGCTCATTTCATTTACCTCTCGAAGTCTTCCACTCTAAAATGTCCCTCTTGTGCAGGGGAGGTGTTGTGGTGGCTCCTCAAAGCAGTTCAGACAGGAGTTAGAGCAGGTTCACTTAGGTACAGTGTTGTACTGTACAGTACCTGTCTATGACATATACAGTAATGTCTCCGTTAGCTGGAATCCCTCAAACCTGGAACTCTCCGATAGCCGGAATTGAAATTTTCTTGGAAAATCGTTCCCAAAGCCGGAATTTTACATAAAATTTCAGCTTTGGAATGATTTTCCGAGGGGCACATTTTCCGGGAAATTTCTGAGAAAATTTCCTAGGAATCTGGAAAATTCCGGGGATGGGGGAGTTTTTTCCGGGCTGCTATTGTGTGTTTTTTTGGGTGGTGCTGCCACCTGTTGAGTCAAGATAGTGGCCTCTACCTCTACTGGGGGTCCTACTGGTGCTGGTCGGGGTGGGACAGACCCACCTAAGAGGCCAAATAAGGAAAAGGAGAAGCGGGACTATCATAAGGGAGTTAAGTTTGCCAAGTACTCAATGCAGGATAAGCAGTGTGTGATTAAATTACTCGAGGAAGGCCTAAAAATTAGCTTCCGGAAAGCACAATGAGGTCAATAAAGGCAGAATTTGTATCATTTGGTGTTTATAAATGGGAAAATCAGGGGTTGGTGTAGAGTGGCCAGTCTATATTGTTATTTTTCCCATTAGTTTATGTATTTGCATTTGGCAAATTTGAATTTGACACAAATTCTCCAGTCTATATTACTCGCGAAATACAAGATCTTGCTGTATTTATTAAGTGATGATAAATACACAATTGTACTGTACTAATTGTTACGACCATGTCGTATTTTTCTATTTTTTTATATATAACATGCTTCCATGTTGTTCCATATTATTCCTGTAATGATGTGTTATATTTACTATTATATAATCTAGTCACCTTACCCTGTGCTGTTAAGGTTTTAACTGTTATTATTTGTTCAAGCCCATCTTATTTCTTCATTTAGTATTGTAACAAGCATTCTTTGTTTCTCTAACGACCATCTGCATCGTTAAACGACCCATGTTTCACCGGCTGGTCGCATTGGCAGGAAACAACCCTATATATAGTACTCCACCAGCAGACAGAGTTCAGTCCAGTCCTTCTTGTCATTCAGTTCACATTCTTTTGAGTAACACTTGTCACCTGTTACTTATACTTCATTTTATTTCTGTGTTGTTCCTGTCGCCACCAATGTGGTATATCTATGTGAGTACCTATTTATGTCTCTATTTATGTCCATCAGTATTTGCTTAGTTACATTTAAGTAATTTAGTGTTGTTTCACGTTAGTTAATTTCAGTGTTAGTTATTTTATATGTTTATGCAGTGTTAACGTAATCCAATGCTTTATTTTTATTCTTTTGGTGTTTTGATGTTTAGTATCATTTGTGTCTTAAAGGTTTCGTTAGTGAATCAATTTGTTGTGACAGCCTACGAGGCTCTTTATTGTGTTAATATTTAATTTACTTAAATTCTGAAAGGTTTACTTTATTTATTTTTATTCCCTTTTAATTTACTTAACTTTTTTTTGTTTGGTTACGCCTAGAACCTGGATATTAAAGTAAATTAAGAGATGGCATAACATAATTTACTAAGTGTTGAAGACAGACATTATGGTAAGCCAATCAGCTGTTTGCTCTTTGTAAACAAATGACTCATGGTGTTCAGTGTGGGATTCTTTTTTTCAGGAAAGTTGATTCTTTTAGTATAATATTATATCAGCCTGGCACCAAATGATCCTAAATTATATGAGAATTGTGGTGAAATTACTTAAAGAAGTGTTAAAGGAATCTTGTGGGAGAGAGGGGGAGGGAGCCACCCACCCATGCTACCCTCTCTCCTCCCAGTAAACATACAATATGCTCCTACACTTATTTGTTCTTATTTTTATCTTTATTCATTAGACAAATTCTGTGGTTACTTACATATAACACTTTACAGTAAATAACAATCATCTCGGTGACAATCAAACTTACATGTCTGATTTTCAACCCAGAGAGTTCTGTTTCATATTATTTTTATTGTTGATGTAATATTCTTTTAATAATCTTGTTATACACTTAAAGACCTTAGTTGTTGAAGTACAGTAATAACATAACAACAACTGATGTCTTTAAACAGTTCAGGTAAGCAGTGTTATCTCCAACCCCCCATATACAGTAATATCTCAATTAACCAGAATCCCTCAAACCCGGAAATCTCAGATAGCCGGAATTGAAATTTGCCCGGAAAACCATTCCAATACCTGGAATTTTCCAAAGATTTCTGGCTTTAGGAACCATTTTTCCGAGGTTGAAAATTTAGAGAATTTTCTGAAAATGTCTTGAATAAAGATGAAAGTTAAAGTATTTTTGGGGGGGACGGGGGGCTGACCTGACTCAGTGTCAGGTGGAGGTAGGGTAGGAGATTAGTGGTCTCATATTACTGACCTCCTGATGGAATGTCAGGTCACCCTTTCTTGGGTGGGGGATTAGTGTGTCTCATGACATGAAGATGTCTTGAATGAACACAAAAGCTAAAGTATTTTTAGAGAGATTGTGGTAAGTATAAGTATAAATGAGCAAAGTTGTATCTCTTCAACATCACATTACACAACATTTTAAAATATGGAGTGAGAAAGCAGAAAGGTGTGGGTGATTAAAGAGATGGAGTGGAAAGGAGTGGTAACATGCACCAGTGTTGCCAAGCGATAAGAACAGAACCCTGTGGGACACCACTACTGGTAGAGAAAGAGCGAGAGATCGATCCCTCGACAACAACTGCCATGGATCGGTTCTCAAGGAAGCTAGAGATTAGAAAACAAAGTGGGGGAGAGAAACCAAAAGAGGGAAGTTTAGAAAGCAAAGACTTGTGCCATACCCTGTCAAATGCTTTGGAAATGTCGAGGGTCACGACGAAAGTTTCCCCATAATCCCTAAAAGAGGATGACCAAAGATGGGTGCAATAGGAGAGCAGATCGCCAGTAGATCTCGCCTGGCGAAAGCCATACTGGTGATCTAACAAAAGAGAAAGGCGTTCAAGGTGACGGAGAAAATGGGAGTTCAGGATAGTTTCGAAAATCTTAGAGAGGGATGAAATTAGGGCAATGGGGCGATAGTTAGAGGGATTAGAATGGTCACCCTTCTTCGGGATGGACTGAACCAAGGCATGTTTTACTTCAGTAACAAAGTCTGGTACTTTTTACAACTCTGTATACGAGGCAGCTGGGCTGGTGAATTGGCTATACAGTTATAGCCCAGCACCTCCACACACATACACATCCATGATCTTCATTTTCTTATTTTATAATTTTATATTATATTTGCTTTATTTCTAAAACACATCGTTTATATAGTGCGGAATAAGTTTCTTAAAAGTCCATTTTTCTGAGATGAATTTGTGAGGGCAGCCTGTAGGATTGTAGGATTTATTGGGGGATCCTAAGAGTGATGTTCAACTAACCATAAAACTGTTTATGTGGCCCCTCTCAATGCTCATGGGTGTCAGATAACTGGGATTCTACTGTACAGTATTGTATTTACTACAGCATTTTCATGTATTTATTACTGCCTGTACAGTGTATTTCAGAACTGTTAAATATTATATTCTTTTTACAGGTACTGAAACTTGATAAGGTACCAGATATAATCAATAGCTGCCTAAATTTCTTGAGGTCAGAAGCTGTCTTCTTAGTAGTCTCCCAGCTGACTGGACTTAAGCTTCATAAACTTGCTCCCCCAGACTCTGAACCAGACTCAGATGAAGAGGATGGTAAAGGTTAGTAATGACTATGAGTAATAAAGTCAGTTTGTCTCCCCTTATCAGAGTAACAACCTCACAATCACTTACTGTACAGGAAGGTTTACAATACAAGTGATGATATGTTCAGTCTCAATATTGTCACTCATTTTGTTTTAGTTCACCTCAATGCTGTGTTTTGTGAGAATAACTCTGTGTTGTGTGTGGTGTTAGTTCACCTCAATGCTGTGTTTTGTGAGAATAACTCTGTGTTGTGTGTGGTGTTAGTTCACCTCAATGCTGTGTTTTGTGAGAATAACTCTGTGTTGTGTGTGGTGTTAGTTCAACTCAATGCTGTGTTTTGTGAGAATAACTCTGTGTTGTGTGTGGTGTTAGTTCAACTCAATGCTGTGTTTTGTGAGAATAACTCTGTGTTGTGTGTGGTGTTAGTTCACCTCAATGCTGTGTTTTGTGAGAATAACTCTGTGTTGTGTGTGGTGTTAGTTCACCTCAATGCTGTGTTTTGTGAGAATAACTCTGTGTTGTGTGTGGTTTTAGTTAACCTCAATGCTGTGTTTTGTGAGAATAACTCTGTGTTGTGTTTGGTTTTCTATTAGATTAACCATCCTGTATTCACACCGTCTACCAGCACCTTGATTACAACATAAACTTATTCTAAGAGAAGGAGGTTTGCGATGAATATAGATATTACCATTCAACACAGAGAGATCATTATGTTCTCTAACATCACCAATCGCTGCCTCACCCAGCCCTAGTAAATGTAAGCAGTGTTTCAAGCACTCTGCTACACCTCCACCCATGCCACTGTGATCAGACTGGCTCTGTTGACAGCTCCAAAGTGTGTGGCATACTCCCTCCACCAGGCAGCACAGTAGTGTCAGGCTGTCACTTGGAGCATTATACATCCAGCCCTCTACCCTGGCCTGTGTATCAGCCTTAACATATTCCTGTGAAGACACCATTAACTAATTTACCCTTTATGCCCCCTTGAAGTATCACATCATAAAGTATCACACCCTAAAGTATCACACCCTAAAGTATCACCCCCCATAAGTATCACACCCCTGAAGTATCACATCATGAAGTATCACCACCTGAAGTATCACCCCCTCAAGTGCTGTGTTTTGTGAGAATAACTCTGTGTTGTGTGTGGTTTTAGTTAACCTCAATGCTGTGTTTTGTGAGAATAACTCTGTGTTGTGTTTGGTTTTCTATTAGATTAACCATCCTGTATTCACACCGTCTACCAGCACCTTGATTACAACATAAACTTATTCTAAGAGAAGGAGGTTTGCGATGAATATAGATATTACCATTCAACACAGAGAGATCATTATGTTCTCTAACATCACCAATCGCTGCCTCACCCAGCCCTAGTAAATGTAAGCAGTGTTTCAAGCACTCTGCTACACCTCCACCCATGCCACTGTGATCAGACTGGCTCTGTTGACAGCTCCAAAGTGTGTGGCATACTCCCTCCACCAGGCAGCACAGTAGTGTCAGGCTGTCACTTGGAGCATTATACATCCAGCCCTCTACCCTGGCCTGTGTATCAGCCTTAACATATTCCTGTGAAGACACCATTAACTAATTTACCCTTTATGCCCCCTTGAAGTATCACATCATAAAGTATCACACCCTAAAGTATCACACCCTAAAGTATCACCCCCCATAAGTATCACACCCCTGAAGTATCACATCATGAAGTATCACCACCTGAAGTATCACCCCCTCAAGTATCACCCCCCATAAGTATCACACCCTGAAGTATCACCCCCCATAAGTATCACCCCCCCATAAGTATCACACCCTGAAGTATCACCCCATAAAGAATGACCCCCTCACCCCTAGTATCACACCTGAAGTGTCTCACCCTGAGTATCACCTGAAGCATCACGCCCTAGTATCACCCTAAATTATCACCATAGTATCACCCTAGTATCAAACCTAAAGTATCACCCCTGATATCACCGTGGTAACATACCCTAATTATACCCCCTAGTATCACCTCCTGAAGTATCACCTAGTATCACCGTGAAGTATCACACCCTAGTATCACACCTAGTATCACACCCTGAATTATCACACCCTAGTATCACCCCTGAAAGTATCACCCCTGATATCACACCTGAGTATCACACCTGAAGTATCACACCCTGAAGTATCACACCCCAAGTATCACACCCTGAAGTATCACACCCCTATCAGTATCACCCCTGAGTATCACACCCTGTATCACAGTATATCACCCTGAATCACACCCTGAGTATCACACCCTGAAGTATCACACCCTGAAAGTACTCACCCCTGAAGTGTGAATCACTCCCTGAAGTATCACACCCTGAAGTGATCACACCCTGAAGTATCAAACCCTGTATCACACACACCCTGAAGTATCACACCTGAAGTATCACCCTAAGTATCACAGAGTATCACTGAAGTATCACCCCTACACACCCTGAAGTATCATCGTATCACCCCTGAAGTATCACCCCTGAAGTATCACCCCTGAAGTATCACAAAGTATCACCCACACCTGAAGTATCACAGTATCTTATCAACCTGAAAGTATCACACCCTGGTATCACCCCAGTATCACACCTGAAGTATCACACCCTGAAGTATCACACCTGAAGCATCACACCTGTATCAGTATCACTCAAAGTCTAAAGTATCACCCTGTATCAAACCTAAAGTGTCACCCACACTGTATCACCCCTGAAGTATCACACCCTGAAGTATCACCTAAGCATCACCCCTGAAGTATCACACCCTGAAGTGTCTCACCCTGAATTCAACATCACACCTGAAGTATCACCCCTGAAGTATCACACACCCCTGAAGTATCACCCCTGAAGTATCACACCCTGAAGTATCACACTTGACCTTGCAGAAGTATCACATTTTGCAGTATCACTCCCTGAAGTATCACCCCTGAAGTATCACACCTGAAGTATCACCCTAAATATCAGTCACACCCTGAAGTGTCTCACCCTGAAGTATCACACTCTGAAGCATCACACCCTGAAGTATCACACCTCTAGTATCACCCTAGTATCACACCCTGAAGTGAAGTCTGAAGTATCACACCGAAGTATCATAAGTATCACACCCTATCAAGTATCACACCCTGAAGTATCACACCCTGAAGTATCAAACCTTAAAGTATCCACTGAAGTATCACCCTGAAATATCACACCTGAAGTATCACACACCCTGAAGTATCACCTCACACCCTGAAGTTATCACACCCTGAAGTAGCACACCCTGATATCACACCTGAAGTATCACAATCACAAGTATCACACCCTCTGAAGCATCACACCTGAAGAAGTATCACACCCTGAAGTATCACAGTATCACCCCTGAAGTATCACACCCTGGTATCACCCTGAAGTATCACCCCTGAAGAAGTATCACACCCTGAAGTGTCACCCTGAAGTATCACACCCTGAAGTATCACACCTGAAGTATCACACCCTGAAGTATCACACCTGAAGTATCACCCCTGAAGTATCAGTATCACACCCTGAGTATATCATACACCTGAAGTATCACACCCTGAAGTATCACACCCTAAACACCTATCACACTCCTGAAGTATCACACCCTGAAGTATCACACCCACGAATCACACACAATTTGAATCACACCAGTATCACACCCCTGTATCACAATTGAAGTATCACACCCCTGAAGTATCACCCCCTCACAACTTATCACACCCCCTAGGTATCACACCCATCGAAGTATCACACCCCTGAAGTATCACACCTGAAGTATCAATCCCTGAAGTATCACACACCCTGAAGTATCACACCCTGAAGCCACACCCTAAAGTGTCACACACACCCTGAAGTATCACCCTGAAGTATCACACCCCTGAAGTATCACACTCTGAAGTATCACACCCTGAAGTATCACACCCCTGAAGTATCACCCCCGAAGTATCACAATCACACCCACACCTGAAGCATCACACCCCAGTATCACACCCACCAAGAAGTATCACACCCTGTTACCACACCCGAAGTATCAATCACACCCTAAAGCCAACCAAGTATCACACCCTGAATCACACCTAAAGTATCACACCCCTGAAGTATTACACACTGAAGTATCACACCCTAAGTATCACACCCTCCACACCCTGAAGTATCACACTGAAGTATACACCCTGAAGTTATCACACCCCTGAAGTATCACCCCTGAAGCACACCCTGAAGTATCACACCCCTGAAGTATCACCTATCACCCCTGAAGTGAAGTATCACACACAAGTATCACCCTGAAGTACCCTGAGTATCACACCCTGAAGTATCTGAAGTGATATCACCCTCTGAAGTATCACACCTGAAGTATCACCCCTGAAGTATCACACCCTGAAGTATCACACCCTGGTATCAGAAGTATCACCCCTGAATTACATGAAGTATTCACCCTCTGAAGTATCACACCCTAAGTATCACCCTAGTATCACCCCTGAAGTATCACACCCTGAAGTATCACACACCCCCTGAAGTATCACACCCTAAGTACACACCCTGAAGTATCACACTGAAGTATCACCCCTGAAGTATTACACCCCTGAAGTATCACACCCCTGAAGTATTACACTCTGAAGTATCACACCCTGATATCACACCCTGAAGTATCACACCCTGAAGTATCACACCCCTTAAGTATTTATCCACCTAAGTATCACACCCTGAAGTATCACACCCTGTATTACACCCCTGAAGTATCACACCTATTACACCTGAAGTATCCACCCTGAAGTATCACACCCCTGAATGCACTGAAGTATCATCACCCCCTGAAGTTTGACATGAAGCACCCCTGAATTGTTCGTCTGAAGTATCACACCCCTGAAGTATTATCATGGTCATGGCCTCTTTATGGTCTCATGGTCATGGCCTCATTCATGGTCATGTTCCATGGTCATGGCCTCATTCGTGGTCATGTTCAAGGCCTCGTTCATGGTCTTGTTCTAGACCTCGTTCATTGTCTTGTTCTAG